ATAATATCGGCCCGAGGTCTTGACAGTACGGACCGAGCGCAGCGAGGTCCGTACAAAAAAGACCGAGGGCCGATATTCTTCCAGTACGGTCCCGAGCAAGCTTGGTTAATAAGAGATTTATTATACGACTGAAGTTCAAAGGGACACAAGTGCGGTATCATTCGGGACCATTCGGGACAGTGCCCGGTCCAATACTGAGAGAATATTGACCGGCAATAGAACATTTTGATTGGTTGATTTTAGTTATTGGCCCTCTGACTGCCCGAGTCGTGTAATAATACCCTATGTACACCTTAACCCTTAACACAAAACAACATCAGTCCTGAAAAAAAAAAAATCTTGGCGGGTCCAAACATGTGACTTGTGCTAGAGACTTCTGCGTTCCGAGTTCGATACAATTCGCACGCATTACAGTCATGTGTCTGCGGTAACTTTCACGAGCCGCTCGCTGATATTAATATCCTTGTATGATTTCAGTTATAAATGCGTTTTGCTTTGAATTCCGCCCATTTATTTTGTTATAATACTTTGCTGATGCTGCGTCTTGTGTCAAATGTCAACCAGCATGGACTTTTTATCGTTTTAGCAATTCTCATAAGCCGCATACTAAAACGCAACTAAGCGTAAATGATAATCTCCAAGGCTTTTCGGTTTCCAAAGTCCCGAATTTTTTACCCTTGATTAATGTTATTTTCACTTCAGCGGTCACCATATATTGGACGGTCACTTAATCCGGAGCTATTCAAATAAAACTAAGAATAATCTTTCCAGTAGAATTTAATCCATATTTGCCTCCGAAAGTCAATGTTGGTAGTAAATTTATATGAATTTTTGTTGAAAAAACAAAACAAAACAAAACAAGAAGTAATATCGATTACATAACTCGACGCCTACTTTCACTCACATTTCTCCATGCACTTTTCATTTTCGTGGAGTGTTCTGTAAAGGTGAATTAGTTTATGGGCTTCGGTCCTCAAACATTCAGAAGATTGACGAAATTTCTGAGCTAATTCGCTGCAATTTGTGATTTTCGTTGCGTTTGAATATATATCCAAGATGCCGGTCAGCACTCCAAAACCAGCCAACGATCCGGAAAAGGCCTTTGCACCAGTTGATCCAGCGCTCAGAAGAGTTTTTCCCACGATTGGGATGGTAACGTCGGGTGCTGCAGCAATTGTGGAAATTCCGACATCCGCTCCATCGCGTGCAAAAGAATGGGCTTTTATAAATGCGACCAGCCTCTTTATTTGCTTGGCATGACCATAGATATTTTTAGCAACCTTGCGGGTTTCCTTAGCCGCCTCAAAAAAATGTGTACTCTTCTACGGACACAACTTTTGCCTCAAAGGATTCTGTGTTCGTTTCATGCTTCAACCTATCTAAATATTCATCGGCTTCTTGTAGATATTTACCGTACTCACCCAACAGTGAGTGGAAGTTATAGGTGGTGCAGAATAGAGATGCTGTGGCCTCATTGACTTTCATTCTCTTGTCCTTGTCCAGATGTCCCTGTACCAGCTTTGCTGTTAATGATGTAGCTTTTCCTGTAAGCGCGCTGATAGATCCTCCCACAGTAAGCGCCAAACTAACACCAGCTGTAACTGAAGTTAACAAAATACCAGCTATCGCAGCCCCACTTCCAACGACAGTCACACTTCCACCAACTGTTCCTGCGATTGCAGTACCCTTTGCTACCTCGTCTAGGCAACCGGAACATTCATCTATGACTTCAAAAGCTTTATGGACTCTGGCTTCGAACTCTTCAATACTGTAGCCTATGACGACGTCAAGATAATTGTCAGCAATATTTTTCCAGAAGAGCGCCTTTTTAAGGGGGTTTGGCTCTGTCAGTGAAAGTTGGAAATCGTTCCATGCCTCCTCCGGAACAAAATGCCATTTTTGGTGTTCACTGCATTCATCGAAGTTTTTCATTAAAACATGAGCTCTGGGAGGTGAGCTATCGATAACGAGATGACTCAAGTTACTCCTAATGGCTCCTTTTTCGACTCGCCACTTTTGGCTGAGGCCGTCGTGAGCTTTCCAGGCATGACAGATGACTTCTTCATCCTTACTCGCATCTTTGATATCCGCTACAAGGCCCACTTTGCTGACCAGCCTGCAACTGTCATCCCATCTCCACAGCTGACTTGGTCTTCCGCGTTCTGGTTTCACGATCTCAAGAATTCCTCTTTTGATACCTTCACGAATATTGATAACCAGTCTACCGCGGCTGTATTGGCTTACTATGAAGAAATATTTGGCGTCATCTCCGTTACGTGCCTGCATCTCGGTAAGTCAACAGCTCTAAAGTTATTTTCCACTGATCAGTTAGAAGATATAATCCCTACCTATGAAATGAACAGAGAGATCTCTGCTTGGTTGGTTTACAGACTTGCTGTGACCAAATTTGATAATCAAGCTCACCAGTCTAACATAAATAATTAACAATTATTTCATGAGCGCGCGTTGGATATATGAGATGATAAATAGATGCTGTAAATAGCCAACGACGCAAGCAACCCTGAATTGGCTCTAACCAATCTCGTATCCAACAAGCGTGAATGGAATAATTAAATTATTAAGTTTTCCGCTTTTCGGTAATGCTATGGGAGTTTACTAAATTTGTCTTAACTCTCAACACTTTTTTATAATTTCTCACTCTGTCAAACGTTGTGAGAACTTAGAGAAGTCTTCTTAATTAAAGGCCAGATTCCCGGAACCGGAAAGGCCGAAACCCGACAACAAATTGAAAGTGATTTGGTCAACCTTGAGTCCATGTAGCTTGCTTTTTAATCGTGTTCGGAGAAGTTCTCCCGGACATATGTTTTTCAGTGATAGTCGCTCGAATCGTTATCAAACTGGATCATACACTGTGTTCGATGTTAAAGCGTTGTTCCCTGTCCGTGAAGATGTTCTTTTGCTTCGGCGGTCGTGCTCGGTTCGAATTCCCGTGTCTGAGAGCTGATTTAAACTGAGTTTAACAAGAAAGCGAGACAGCTAATTTCCAACCCTTACGTAAAAGTATCGACCAAAATGCAGTTGAACATGCTGATACGGAGTAGGAGTTCAAAAAACGATGACAAGAAGCATTTCAGGGATTTTCGATCTCTGTTCCTTTCGTGGAAATTAAAAACACAACGAAAGAACTACTAACAGAAATAAGTCAACATGTCCGGTTTCTTGCATGCGTGAGTTCACAGTGTTACCGTGCCGTAATGGACTGTACTGGACAAAAGAATGCCCTAGGTATCTTTCTAGAGCCTTGAAGGATGGTTCCCTACAATTAGCAGCGAAAGGTTTTGGCCATTTCTCGGTAACCGGCTAAAGTTGTGTTTGATTTATGATTATCAATTTCGATTTAGCAACATTCAGATTGTGAGGTCCGAAGAGAAAGAAGTTGCGCCATATCTGTTTCAATATTTGATATTTTGGAAGCAAGAGTTGATCAACTGTTACGACTTAAACCCCGCCAGTTAAACGATCGAACATTTTCGATTACTCGTGGCATCGTTTAAATGGGTCGGTTGTGGATCAAACCATTGGTCGTGACACAAAATGTTGAATAAGACCAAACATGGAAACCAACTAAATGCAAGGTCACTTTTCAGACGGGCGGCTAAGCAGTCAAACATTCTCTCTCAATTGAAAATGATGATGCAGATTGAAAACTGATGTCACGCTTGGTTGACCTAAATTTCCTGCAACTCCGGCTTTAAGGTTTTTCCTCTTTGCATCTTAAGTTTTTGATGGTTTACATTCGAATTACTATGACAGAGTACAGAGAATTTTCAACAAATTCCGGAAAAAGCATATCCTAACGGTGCATCTGTAAGGCGCGTGTCGAGTATTATCCAAAACATGTATTTCTTTAATACTGCCATCGTATCGATATAGCGCATATTCAGTGATAAGCTCTTTAGAAAACTACTTGAATTCAACATGACCGTGAGTTCAAAGCTTGATGCAATCAGCTACGAATGATTTACTGGCTTATTTAAGTTTGAACAATCCAAATTATGCTTACCTTAACTTGATGTTGCACAAACTTTGGTAAGTAAACGACAAACAAGTTTCGTTCAAGATATCAAGGAATCGGTGTCTTTGAGTTTGACTAGAGATTACCTTGAAATCATGCGTGGAATGTAGGAGGTAACTTGACCTCAGTTAAACATAATCTCTCTCGAAAAACACGCGTCAGTTTACGTCTATTTATAAAGGATTTCCTAGAAAATTTGCGTTATTGGCCAATTAGTGGGTCAAGATGACCGGATGTTAACCGAGTCTGTTTTTTCGAATTTAATGAACCGAGACGAAGCAGCACTCGTGGGAGAAAAATCATGCTCTGAATAGCAGAGGCATCTCTCATCCGCGTTTTCGCTCTCTCACACGCATGTTTGCACACTCACTTCCATTTACTTCCATTAGGCATGTGTTCTTCATTATTAATTTGCCAATCCATAGTCTTCTTGGAGCATTATAAACCTTTCTTTAGGGATTTTAATTTCAAAACTCTATTTCAAATATCGGTGTCATCCCCGGTGCTGTTGTTTTTGCAGTGGCGCTCAGTGGTTAAAAGTTGTTATTTTGTGTAGGCCTGTAAGCTCAAAAAAAAATTAATGTGAATAAATTATTTTCAGGGTGGCTGAGGTTGTTGACATCTGGGTGGCATTTTTTTTAACCCGAAAACCGGATGAGGCATAATAGCTAATAGAAAGGGCGCTTGAACTGCCTATCACTTAGAAATACTGAGGGGCAGATAAGCAAAAAAAAAAAGTTCTTTGAGATAAATAAAAACAAATTTATTTTGATTCAAAGGTGATCATCGATCATCGTGTTGACCTTTCTCATCAAAATCATATCAGTTGACAAGACATATGATTATAAAAAATAATAGAAAAATAAAGTCATCTTCGACCAGTAAGTTCATGAAAAAGAAAACATGATCAATTTCTTCAGACTTATTGTGAAGCACCTGCCTTATAAATTCTGTAAATTTTATTGTACAGCACGATCTCTTTAAACCTACTAGTATGACATATCAAGATATATTTATAGTCTTATATAATTTCAGTTACTTAGTCGCGTTTTGCATCGGATCCCTTCTGTTATCAGTAATGCTGTGTCATATGCCAAATGTCAATCAACATAGACTGTTATTCGTTCTGGTGCCTCTCGTGAGCCGCAAACGAGCAACTTAACCTAAATGACACGATATTTAATTTAGTAATTACACTTACAAGAATCAGTAGCATGCAGAAAAGGAAACTGAAACGGAAAACCTCTCCAGATCATTCAGTTACACTTCTATCAAAACTCACTTTTGTAGCTGCACGATGGTTTACGATTTAACGCAACGGACATCTTGTTAAATTGTTGCATTTTTTCCTGTTCTTACTAAGCTCGCAAAAATACTACGAGACTTGAAAAATGTATTTCCACATGTACTCCATGTCAAACCATCGAATTAGGAGTATCTAAAGGTATCATTATTGTTATTTTTACTTCATAATGTATTGATGTGTAAATGTTATGAAGCTCTAATTGAGCACACTGACTGCATGACCAGTGTTTCAGTTCAAATTCTGAGGCGCACTACAAAAAAGAAAAACTAGATTGGTATCAATTACATCGCGTAACGCTGACTTTCCGTAACACTACTCTATGCTATCTTCAATTTGACGAAGTCCTCTATAAAGGCGGATCAGTCTATCAGCCTCTTCTCTCAAGCATTCAGAAGACTGACGAAATTCCTCCGCTAATTCGCTGCTATTGGTGATCTCCTTTGCACCAGAATATATATCCAGAACGCCGATCAGCACTCCAAAAGCAGCCAACGATCCGGATGAAGCCTTCGAATCCGTTGATACAGCAACTGGAAGAGTTTTTTCAACGACTGGGTCAGCAACACCTGATGCTTCAGCGCTTGTGGAAATTCCGACATCCGCTCCTCTGAACAATAAAGAATTGGCCTCCATAAACGCAAGCAGTCCTTTTATTTCCCTGACTTGGCCGTAGATATTCTTAGCAGCTTGGTCGCAGGTCGTCCTTGCCGTGTCAGATAATGTGCACTCTTCTGCTGCCACAACTTTTTCTTCAACAGAGTCTGTGCACGTTTCATGCTTTTGCTTTTCTAAAAACTCATCTGCTTCTTTCAGGTACTTCCCGTATTCATTAAGCAACGAGTGGAAGTTGTGGGTAGCGCAGAAGAGAGATGCTGTGGCTTCATTGACTTTCGTTCTGTTGTGCTCGTCTAGGCGGCCATGCACTAGTTTTGCTGCTAATGCTGCAACTGTCCCTGAAAACATACCGATAGCTCGTCCTGTAGTGAGGGCCAAACTGGCACCAGCTGTAAGTGGAGCTAACAAGACACCAGCTAACGTAACCCCACCTCCAACGACTGACACACCTCCACTGACCTGTCTTGCTATACCAGTACCCTTTGCTACCTCTTCTAGGCTTTTCGTACACTCATCTATGACTTCAAAAGCTTTATGGACTCTAGCCTCGAACTCTTCAATACTGTATCCCATGATGACATCAAGATAATTGTCAGCTACACTTTTCCAGAAGAGCGCCTTTAAAAGGGGGTTTGATTTTGACAGTGAAATTTGGAAATCGTCCCATGCCTCTTCTGGAACAAAATACCACTTCTGGTTTTCGTTACATTCATCGAAGCTTCTCATCAAAACATGATTTCTGGGAGGTGAGCCGTCGATGACGAGATGACTCAAGTTGCTTCTAATGGCTCCTTTTTCGACTCGCCACTTTTGGCTGAGGCCGTCGTGAGCTTTCCAGGCATGACAGATGGCTTCTTTATCCTTACTCGCACCTTTGATGTCTACCACGAGGCCCACTTTGCTGACCAGCCTGCAACCTTCATCCCATCTCCACAGCTGACTTGGTCTTCCGCGTTCTGGTTTCACGATCTCGAGAATTCCGCTTTTCTTGCCATTTTGAATATCAAGAACCAGTCTACCTCGGCTGAATTGACTTACTATGAAGAAATAATTGGTGTTATCCTCGTTACTTGACTGCATCTCGGTAAGTCAATAGCTCTTCTGTTATTTTCCACGGATCAGTTGGAAGGAAGGAAGGAAGGACCAATCCCCTCGGTTGTGAACGTCAGCTCGAGTCCCTACCTAAGTAATGAAAAAAGGAGATCTCTGCTTGACCGGTTCAAAGACTTGTTGTGGTCACATTTGACACTCAAGCTCATCAGGGTAACATAAATAATTCAAGATATGCACCAGGGTCAGGCTGAGCGGAGCTTATTTCATAAGTAGTTTTGGTTATCTGAGTTGATAGTGTAAATTGACCCCCATTCAGAGTTTCAAAGCTGACGTTTCGAGCAAAAACCCCTCGTCAGAAATAATGGTGGAATTATGGGTAACCATGTTCCCACTAATATGGTAGTTCGATTTTCTGCAAATAAACAAACACACAACCTCCATTCGTTCTGAAGAGCTAACGTTAGCTTTGAAACTCTTTTTAGTGGCCAATTTACATAATCGACTCAGTTGATAAAAGCAAATTACATCGTTACTTCCACCGACGCATGCGCAGCATCACAGCATGAGCCTACCATTGCTTGAAGCTTCAGTCAACTCCCATACTGAGCCTATGTCACGGCATTTTCACAGAACGGTTTATTTTTAAACTACCTTTTCCCGGGAAATAGGCCACTCGAGCTCACGGGCTTTCGTGTAATAACGAGTCAAGTTATAAATTAACTACGCGCTAATCACTTTGTTTGAAAAAGCACTAACTTTATATTTTCAAAGTTGGCTGGTTTGTTAGCAGGCCTGGTTTTCAATGTCCTGGTATGTTTGTGCAGAAATAAAATCTCATTAAGCTCATTCGCGCGTTTGTGGTGATTGATTCTTTGTCAACATTAAATGGCTTGCATTGACTGATTCAAGAGCGCATTCAGAAATTCAGTATTTTTTCCCTCTACTTCATTAACAAGTAATCGCAATGGGTCCTCGTAAAATTAAGGATTAATATCACGCGTGTTTTCGGAAGTTGCTGAAAACACGCGTGATATTAATCCTTAATTTACTCCGCCCCATGCTATTACCTATACAAATTCAAATTAAAAATAGACTTGTCTGTGAAAACACCGTGACTTAAACAAAGGGCAGTTGAACGCTCCAGGTAATGGCTCCTGACCACAGTTATTATCGAAACTTACCCCTTTATCATTGAATAAGTAATTCGATCATCTTTTCGATTCCACCCGTGTTACTTTTTGGCCTTTTAAAGATTTAGATTATTGGCAGGGTTCTGAGGAAATTATCCCTATGAACATTTTCTGATCTTCACAATAAACAATACCGTTTTCTCAGATCGACAAAGCCCGGTTGACAGATCAATGAATTTCAGTGGTGTTAAAATTTGGCGTTACTCTGTCCGTACAAGATTCATTTTGACTCGACGGTCGCGCGGTAGTTTGGGATTCCCACGTCCGAAAGACCTAGACTGAGGGTAACAAGAATACAGGAGAATCAGAGTAAATGTTCGGACAAAACTTCAATTTAAAAGCTTAATGCACAAATAATCAAGCCTATCCTAGTCGGGGCAATTTCAAGAATATAAGATAAGCCCATTTCTGAGAATCCTAACCTCTAGGAAAGAACACTGTTTACAAAATTAATATGGGTTTCTTTCCTTTTCAACAGTAAAGCAAACATGTCGGCCAAAATGTAATTGAACTTGCTGATACGGAAGAGGTGTTCATGAAACGAGGATAAGAAACGTTTGCTTTTTTAATGAAACGAGGATGAGAAGCATTTGATTTTTTTATCTCTGTTCCTTTCGTTGAAATCGCAAAAACGGATAAAAGCGACAGTTAGCAAAAGTAATTCAACTAGCGTATCTGGTTTTGTCTCGTGCCTTCGTTCTCAGTTCTAAAACGTGGACTGTCGCGAATTTCCCTTGCACATTTTGCTTTGGATATCATTTGCATTGATAATTCCCCTTTCAATTAACAGCGAATGGTTGTGGCCATTTCTCGGTAATTGCTTAAACTGATTACGGTTGATTCACAGTTATCACCTACGATTTGACAACATTCAGACCGTTAGGTCAGAAGAAACAAAAGTCATGCCATTAATATTTCAACGTCTGATGTTTTTTGTGGGCACAAGTTGGTAAATTTCAACGACTTATTAAGCCCCTATTAAACCACTTTGTTAACAATGCGTTTGTTGCAAGAACATGGGATGGTTACACGCACAAACAATTGCTCGTGACCCAAAACGTTACATAGATTTGTTTAATCTAAGTCACACATGGGACTCATTCTTGCAGCCAAGGGAGTCAAACAGTACATACCCTTTCAAAATTATGATGGACGATAAATAAATGTTTGAGCGGTTAGCCGTGACTTAAAGTTTACGTTTGCTCGATCGTAGTCTCTGTATTAAAAATTCCGGTCCAAATGTTCCTCCCGAAGGTACTTCGCATCATAAGTTTTGGATTGCTTCACTTAATAATTCATTTTACTATGCCACAGCGACGGGAAATTTTAACCAAGTCCAGAAAAAAAGCACATTCTAACACGATTCATATATCGGGTGTATACATGTTATCTAATGCATATATTTCTTTGATGCGCCACCATCGTGTCGATATGGAGCATATTTAGTAAGCTCTTCAGATAATAACTTGTAGTCAATATGGCTGAGTTCATGCACTCAATAATGAATGATTCACTGGGTTGTATGAGTTTGAACGATGCATATAATGCTTAACCTTCAAGTACTTCTTGGTTAGAGCCTTTGATAGATAAATGACATACAAGTTTCGTTACCTTATATGAAGGAGTCACTATCTTTGAGTTTGACTCAGGATTACTTTGTAATGGAGGACGCGTGGAACGTAAAAGGTAACTTGATCTCAGTTAAACGTAATCTCTTTATAACATAACCAAAGTAAAGCGCGCGCTCTGATTGGTCAATTTAGCGTCCCCCATTTGCCCATGGGTGTACGCTGCTGACGTGAGCAAATGCAAAGACTACTTTTCCGCGCGCGCTTGTTTTTTCTGGTCACGTAAGATTTGTTAAATAAAAGGGAACTCTTTAGCTACAATGTATCAATGTTATGTTATAAAACAAATGGTAAACACCACAGCGTACACTATTGAGTTATGGATGCACTTNGAAATATGCCGACTAGGTGTGTTGTATGAGGAATGTATGAAGCGCGATACCCTCTTGCAAATTTCGCACGTTGCCACATCCTTCTACAACACACTTAGTCGGCATATTTTCGGACAATATCGACTACAACCTTCCCAAACAAGTGAAAGTGTGTGAAATGCAGACTTTCGTGTTCTCGATTTGACGTCACATTACCCGCTAGAGCCATTCCTTTTTAAACTCGGTCGTGGGGCAAGATGGCGACTGATTTTCCGTATTTTGACTGGGCACAGAAAATTGAAGATTTGAACAAATAAAAAAGTTTTGCACAGAAATACTCCAAAAAATACGCTTATTTCGTTAAGCGAAAATAAATTTTTGGGTTTAGGTGCACTTTAAGCTAATCATATTGTGGTTAATTACCTTGGAAGGAAAGTACAATTTCTGCCCTTAAAACTGTCAAATGGCAAGAACCTGCATTTTGTGCACGCATGCTTCATTATATGTTGATGTTCGATCTACTGTATTTATGTAGCGTTGTCACGTTTTCTACCAAAATAATTTGTCAGGTCTACAAAGAAAGTGTGCTTGAACTGCCTACCACAAAGAATTAGATGCAGATGCACGAAATCACGAAAATAAACAGATAATCTTTTTGCTATTAATAATTGAATGAATCATCGATCGTGGTGTTGACCTTTCTCGTCAAAATCATATCGCTTTACATGATAAATGATATTAAAAAAACCGATAAGAAGTGAAAGTTATTTCCCACATTCATGCTCAAGAAAAAGATCAACTCCTTCTTGAAAGCTATTGGGAAGCTCCTGTTACTGTTATGGTTGCACGATGATTTAAGATTAGTACAACAAACATCATTTACTAGGTTCGCAAAAATAATACTCATTCAACGAATTTTCCCATTTCGATGACTGTGCTGGTTCTATTCTTGGGTAACACGCTTGTAAATCCTGTCATTTACGCTCTTCAGATGCCAGGGTTCAGAGGTTTACTACAAATAGTTTGCAGGGTCTCAGATGTTTCTAACGCCCCAGTAAACCGACCACTTCGTAACTTTAGGAGAAGGTAGATTAATATTTTTAATAAAAAATATTAATGTAGTTTGTTTTGGATAGCTTAAACTTCTTAGCCGAGCAAAATGCATAGACATTTCATTTTTAGGATTGATAAGTGATACAGTATACTTGTTGCTTTTGATTAAAAACAGATTACTGAAAGCCCTGACGTTGTGTTCATTTACATGACAGCTTTACTTATTCCTAAAAAAGGGGGCTGTTTAACAAATCCAGGATCCCTAACTTAGGAGGACTTTCCCACTCTCCAACCTCTTGAATAACCACAACTATTGACCAATGAGCCGGAGCGCGCGTAGCGATGAAATATACACTTAAGCTGCGATCCTTTTATGAACATAGTAAGAAATCAAGCGCTTTCAATAGAAGTTTATTCTTAATAATAACCAAAAATGACTTTTTCAGGGAAGACATTGAAGTTTTACTATCACCAAACTGATACCATGTGGTTTCTGTTCACTTCTTTGACACTGTTCACTTAAGTTGTCCCTCATTTTCCTCGTCGCAGAAAGATACTCAAAATATCGAGATTTATCTCTTTTAACTTTCACAATAACATATGGGCAGAATTATTTTATTCAAGATTGACTGAAACGGCATTTCCACCAGCGCTAAAATCGGTGATCAGTTGGACAGATGAATTGGCTTACACGCTTCTGCATATCATGACGGAAATTACAAGTTAGGATGAGACAAACCTAGATATGGGACTCTGCATCCTTCATCTAAATTCGAGCTTTAGCAAGGTATATGATAATGCATTAATTAACACCCCAAAAAATGACAGAAAAGATGCAAATGTGGAACTGAGGGAGGGTGGGACGATCTGATGATTTGAAAGATAGCTGGGTGAGATACCACCAACACAGGTTCACTGTAATGATGATACGCGGATCTCTGTAGGCTTTTAGTGGAAAAGTAATAATAATCAAAATAATGTTCAGAATGTTTTGTTTGCATTGCGTGACGGCTCATGACGAGTGTGACTTGGCGGCCTCGCCTTATTCAGATTAGTTAACCACATGCAGAACGTTTCGGTGACCTTCTTTGTTTTTTTTTTGTTGTTGTTGTTGTCGCAAGGAGCGAGTCCACCATTGGGAAAGAATACTCTTAAAATATCTTCCTTTAACGCAAGAAGTATCGTCAATAAAAGACTGGAGCTTCAGAGTCATGTAGCGCTGATGAACCCCGACATAATTGCGATAACCGAAACATGGCTTCATGAGGGAATAGCCGACAACGAAATCCTTCCATCTTCATATAATGTTCTTCGAAATGACCGTGGAAGTAGGGGTGGCGGTGTACTTTTAGCCGTTAAATCTAATATATCATGCTCAAGACGTCCTGATTTGGAAGAAGATATTTGCGAACTCTTATGGGCCGAAATTCCACTGAAAATAACTGGCATG